GGGGGGGGGGGGGGGGGGGAGGGAGGAGACTGACTGTGACTGGGAATGGAACCCAGGGCCTTCCACATGTGAGGAAAAGGCTTTCCTACTGAGCTATAACCCCGGCCCTTTATTCTACTTCTTATTTGGAGACAGGGTCTTACGAAGTTATTCAAGCTGGCCTGGAGTGCACTGTGTAGCCTGGGCAGACCCTAGCCTCCTGATAGCTGGGATGACACACCTCTTCCTCCAGCTGGACTCTTGTCTTTATTTTACTTAGTTTTCGCATGTGTGCAGTAGATAGCAAATTCTCCATGTGTGCAATAGATAGCAAATTCTCCGCTGAGTGGCTAGATCTATGGCTTTCAAAGCTGTCTGAGTGTGTTTCATCAAACATGCCAAACAAATAACCAGTTCTCTCAGTACCTCTGCTGGGCAAATGCCAATCATATATGCAAATACCAGCTTCTGATGCCAGCTTAAGGAAATGGTGGCTCCATGTTCCTTTTGGAGCTAAAGGCAAGCCTTCAGAGTTGGATTGTGGGGGAGTTTTGATGTTTTGGGGGGGGTTAGTTTGTTTGTTATATTTTGTTCTGTATGGGGGGTGGATAACTTTTAAATCAGATGCTCCATTTGCCCTTCTAGCATGAGCGTTGCGTGGGGCATTGCCCGGTCCTTTGGAGATGGCTGGCAGGCTGAGTGGTAGCTGCTGATCAGAGAGCACTCTGGGTATGGACTTCAGCTGTGGACATCCATGGTTTCAGTCTCAAGGTGTTTTCTGTTCAGTGTACACATTAACCTGACAGACAGGCTGCTGCAGAACAATATTTGAAATTTTGATGCTGGAAGAGTACAGTGGTCTTGAACGTTGAAATTAGAATATCGCTTTACTAATGTAGCATGTCCGTGTTGAAATCTAGACGAATTGGCGATACCAAGATGCAGGTAAGATTTAGCCCTTGTAAACAGCCTGAGTTTCCCTTGTCACTTAGCTGCACAGTGTGTGCAAGAGCGAATGGAAGATAACTTCAGTTCCATGAACAGGTATCAGCTGGACACATAGATAACACCAAAGAGTGAGGGCTGAATACCATATTCTTCTCAGTGTGGTGTCTTTTTCTAATCCCAATCGAGTCAAAATATTTCCTTCACAACGTTGCTACCTTCCATGTAACAGACGCTTGGCTGCATCTGCAGTAAGACAGTGTGTGTGCCTCGAATTCTGTGCCAATCAAAGGAACTCACCCAGGATTCTGCTATGACTGTGATAATGTAGGAAGCTACATTTCACCTCACTTAAGCCTTCTGTGTTCTCTTCCCAGGGTTCAGCGGATTCCTATACAAGCAGGCCATCGGATTCCGATGTCTCTTTGGAAGAGGACCGCGAAGCAATTCGGCAAGAGAGAGAACAGCAAGCAGCTATCCAGCTCGAGAGAGCAAAGGTGACTTTTCCCCCTCTTCTTTTGTTGAAAACCGGCATATTGCTCAGCATCCTGCCTCACATCTGTCTTAGGGTTTCTGAGAAATACTGACCAAAATCAAGGTGGGGAGGAAAGGGTTTATCGGCTTACAGCTCTCTGGTGACACTCCATCACCAAGGGAAATCAGCAGGAACTCAGGCAGGGCAGGAACCTGCAGGCAGGAACTGAAGTGGAGGCTGGGGAGGAATGCTGCTTACTGGCTTGCTCTCTGTGTCTTGCTTAGCCTATTTTCTGGTACCATCAGGACCACCTGCCCAGGGGTGAGACTGCTCACAGTGGGCCGAGCCCTTCCACATCAATCATTAACCAGGAAAATGCTCCACAGGCTTGCCTTTGGGCTAATTTGGTGGGATCATTTTCACAAATGGCATTCCCTCTTTTCAAATGATTCTAGCTTATGTCAAGTTGATATAAAATTAGCCAGCATGGTGTCTTTCTGGAGTATTTCTTTTCCAGCTATCCTGATAAGGCTTTGGATTGCAAGATTTATATTGTATGTTTCCCTCACAGAGGTTAGTGGTATCTGCAGGGACCCATTTCCTGTGAACCTTTGCCTTTTTCTGTTTGATTTAGTGGTAATTCTCAGTCGTTTCCCAACCTAGCAGTGTGGCAACATCAAACTCACCTCACCTAGTATTGGCAGAGAGCCTTCTGAGCTGCTAGCCCGAGTCCTCTGTCCTTGACCCCTCCTCGTCACTACACCAAACAGGCACCATTGTGCTGTGGACCATTTCACTGCCTCCGCCATTGTTTGGATTCTAGATTTCAGATTCCCACCTCAAGTTCAGTATGAAGTTCAGAACATTATTCTGTTTGCTTGCTTGAGAAGGGGTCCACTACATTGCCCGCTCTGATCTTGAACTTTGAACAACTCCACCAAGAGCAGCAAAGATGAGACAGAAGCCATTGCCCCCTCGATGGGCTTCAGCTCCTCCCCTTCCAGCAGACACTTAGGATGCAGCAAGAAACCGATTGCATGCTGGGGTTTAAGACCGGACAAATTGCTAGAGTTCACCCAGCCTACCTATGTCTTTCTAACTTACTTTTCAAAGCACAGACCCTTTGTTCAAGTTAATTTTTATGCACAATAACAACATATAAGACAGTGTTCGTGGTGAGCCTGTCTTCTTGTTTCCATGGCTAGCTCCTATGGGCAGGTACCTTCCTGAATTTTAGACTCAAACCCAAATAAAGTTAATTTTCTTCTTTTTAATTTTATGATGAAATCTTTTAGAGATTGAAGCAAGAGAAGAATGATGCAGATGAGTGAGGCGTTGGCGTCTATGCACTCTGTGCATCTGTCTAGTGCCTGGGAGGGAACAAAGGAGGTTCTCATTTGGGTCCTACCTCAACTGTTGACATTCCCAATGCAAATACACAAACCAATAGCAGAGCTGCCCAGAAGCTGGGAGACCTTGCGTCTCACAGGTTGCTAGTTCTTGTTTTGAACAAGTCCATCTGTTCCATTACTGTGTGATCACCTAAATGGTGGTGGCAGGATCGTAGCCTAGGCTTGTGGGTAGCTTAGCCCCCACAGGCTGCACCTGCTCAGGAGCACGTTGCCAGCGGGAGTCTATATACAAGTTTTAAAACCAACTGTTAGAAGCTAGGAAGATAACAGGTGAAGAGCCTGCCTGTTAGGTTTAACCCACACTACCCCCCTTTCCCTGGCAGGACAAGAGAGTCAGCTACCAAAGATCTCAGGTTTTCAGATCGGAGGCTCTTTCAAAAATCCTTCTTTTCCACCCCTCCTCAGGTTTTTAAAACCCAGTGTATGTTTCCTAACATACGTTTTTCTTGTATGTGTGAACCTATTCGTGTGTGTGTGTGTGTGTGTGTGTGTGTGCCCACAAGTATGCATATGCATGTTTATGTGCATGTGTGTGGAGGTCAGAGGTTAATGTGTTTTCCTAACCACTCTCCCAACTAATATGAGAGACAGGTCTCTGATTGAACATGGAGTCCACCATTTGGCTAGACAGGCTGGTTAGCCCCAGGGCTCCTCTCGTCTCTGCCTTTCTAGCACTGAGACTAGAGAAGTGCACCCTGGCACCCAGGTTTGTCACCCTGGTTTCTGTGTAGCACATGCTTTATCACCTGAACTCTCCTCCCAGTGCTCCCGCACCCCAGTACATATGTCCTGTATCTCACAGTTGGGAGAGTGTCTGTTACCATTGAAAGTAAATAAATAGTTTGTAAGAGCGGGAACAAGGCAGATGGCCCCCACCTCTATCCATCCCTCCCCAGCCGTTTAGGGGCTAATTCTTCACTGGGGATTTGGAAAGTACCACAGAAGAAGGGAAATGACCAGGCTGAGAGGAATGAGTCATTCCCAGAGTCATCTCTGCAGATTTCTGGATGTGGCCTGCGACTGTAAAACCCAGCGGAGATCCCTCTTTGGAAAGTGATTTCCTCACTGCCTGGAACCATCATTCATCCTATGACACGTGTCAATATGAAAAATGCTTCTCTCTCCTCCTCTCTCCCTCCCTCCTCATTCTGCGCTTCTGTCTCTAGTCCAAGCCTGTAGCATTTGCTGTGAAGACGAATGTGAGCTACTGTGGTGCCCTGGATGAGGATGTGCCCGTTCCCAGCACAGCCATCTCCTTTGACGCCAAGGACTTTCTTCACATTAAAGAGGTAAATGTAGGACATACTGCACCCCTTCGTCTGCCAAAAAGCTACATCTGGGAATCAGCCTGAGCCAAATGCACAGGAGAGGAGACCCAAGGAGCTGCCAGTGTGGAGCCTCAGTTCATGCTCTGGGCCTCCACATCCTTGCATCTCACTGAGATTTAGAAGCTGAGGTCATCACCTGCATTATTGCCACATGCTTTCAACACAGGAGCACACTCAACATTTGAAATGACACAATGGATTTTGGATTTTGCACTCCCCCCCCCCCCCGTGTGTGTGTGTGTGTGTGTGTGTGTGTGTGTGTGTGTGTGTGTGTGTGTTGGGAACCAAACCCAGGATCTAATGTATGCTACATTCTCAGCCCATCTGTGGGACTACAGACCCATGGTTCTATGGATATAACTTAGGGAAGCATGAGTTTCGTAGCATAGTAGTATCCAGGAGGGACTTTTTACAGAAGAGATATTATCGTGATAGACACTGTGAACCGTGGTCCTGAAATTGTTAAACTAAGAAAGGGACAGAGAACTCTAGGAAACAGAGAGCTTGAGGGGTTGAGCAGTGTAAGGAGGACTTGGGGGCCTCACATATAGGAAGGTATAACACTAAAAGAACAACAGCAGAGGCTTAAGTTTGTGTTCAGCCTAGGTGCAGTGAAGTTGTATTCTGTATCAGGCATTGTACCCAGCACTGCAGGATGAGACATAGGAACAGTGATGCTGTGGGCAAGAAACTCCGAGTCTAGGGGCCAGGTGAATAATATTAATGATTCTGTATGGAATGATATATTCTACTATTTAAAAAAATGGACCAGTGTCCTGGAAGTTCCCAGAGAGAGAAGGAGACATCAGTATGGAGGAAGAGTCAGAACTGGGCACAGAGTGGCATTGGGAAGGGACAGCCAGAAGCACGGCAGCGTGACCAGAGGGCGGTAGGAGAAGTGAAACAGAGAGGAGGCCTGTCCGCGGGTCAAGAGGTATAGCTTTTCTATCGGCTGTGCTGGGGACTGAATTCAGGCTTTATGCACACCAGGCAAACTCTGTAGCCAAGCTGTTATCTCTAGCCCCAGAGGGCCAGACTTTAAAAGGCGCATCTTCAGCCAGGACAAGAAGACTGGTCTTGCTAGTGGGATAGAGAGGAATTTGGAGGGAAGCTGAGACGTGAGCAGCCTTGTATTGGGAATGGGAGCTGTGATGGGCAAAGGAGAATTGGGGATCTCATTCCACTGTTTGTAGTAGAGAAAGTGATGGGGAGAGAAATAAAGGCTGGGGGTCAGCTTTTCAAAGTTTCTTGGAATCACAGGAAGTAGCGTCAGCCTCTAGATTCAGCTTTGGAAACAGAGAAGGCAGAAAGGGGCCAGATGTTGCAGCGGTGGACATGGCCGTGAGTTTATGTCTGGGCACATTGTGTCTGGGGGGACTATGACCCCTTCAGCATCTGAGTGGTTGAATCTTTGTTGTTATTTCCACCAAAAGCAACTAAGCCATATTCATGAGTTGCCAGCGCTCATCATTTTCAAGGAGAAGTGACCTTTAAGAATGAGGGACATTCTGGGCTGGAGAAATGGCTCAGCTGTTAAAGGCTAGGCTCACAACCAAAAATACAAGAATGAGGGACATTCTCAGGTGCATATGACAGTGACAGTGTGGTATTTGATTGCTTCATATTAATATTCTAGTTTTTATTAATATGTATTTTAATTGGACATACTTATGTGATCATTTGATACATATAATAGGTCACAACAAAACCAGAATAGTTAATACTTCCAGCTCTTTAAACTTAGAAAACAAAAGTTTTCTGAGGTAGACTGTGGCATTTTGAAACATGTATGCAGTCTGCACTGGCCAAATCGGGGAAGCTAATGCTTGCATCTCCATAGAGTTTCTCTGTGTGGGGCACCTTCGAGCCGCTCGGACAGCAGTTGATGTGTCTTGCTCGTAGCTTTTGGGTCTGTGAGCTGTTGGTCAAGGGATTTTCCTGCAGTCTAGCAGCTCCTTTTTCCTTTGTAACTTGGTTTCTGATCTGGTAATCGTCTGTGGATCAGAGCCACTTGTTTTCAAATCTTGCAGATCAAATAAAAAACATCTTAGAAAGAGCACATGCTAATCACTTTGGGGAAATCAAAACAGGGAAGACCGGAACAGTGCTAAGGAGGCCTTTCCAGAACGCTGACTCAATCCCTGGGCCATCAGCACAGGGACAGGCACACTTCTGTGACAGACCGAGTCCTTCCTCGAATGCACCAGTGCCCATTCTGTTTTCTCAACAATGTAAAGGCTTAAAGGTCAAGAAAAGCCACAGTGGTGCCTGTTCCGAAGCCACACAGAGAGACCTGCCGCTCATGAGTCTGCACAGCACCTCGCTCCCCAGTGGCCAGAGACCTTTCACTCACGCTGAGTCAGAGGCTCAGTGTTCTTTACCTGTTTCCTAGAACTGCAGTAAACCGTTTTGGGAAGTCACATTAGCCATCTTAGGCGGCCCTATGAGGTCGCTCGGGTACCACTTAACAAATGAGTGTCTCGGTGGGCTTACTTAATTTCAGGAAATAACTGAAGCCCTAGGAACCCCTGACTCATGTCTGTGTTGTCCCCGGCACAGTAAAATGTCAACTCCAAACCTACACGCCAGAGTCCAAAGGGGTCCGCTTGCCTTTTCTTAATTACAAAACAGACGGACCTGTTAGTTCAGGTGTGTTATGCTGAATTGAAGACAGGAAACTAAGAGCCAGATTGCTCAAGGGTCCCTGTCACGTCAACTCAAGCGCCTCTCCACACAGTCTCTCCATTGGCACAAGGCATGGCTTCTGCAGGAGCTCCGTGCAGACAGGGCTGAAGCCTGCCATGTCGTTTGCATTTCAAAATGAGATTGTTACTTAGAATTATTCAAGTTTCTCAGAATTTCATGCTGTGATGACTCAATGAACCTTTCATTCTTCCTTGTCACAGTGTCAGAGATGTAAATTCCACTTTCCTCTGAGCTCAGCAACTCATCCTAGAGTTGGTAGGTGTTCACACACACACACACACACACACACACACACACACACACAGGAAAAGAGTTTCTTATCAACACTGATAAAGACCACGAAGGCACCTTTGTACTCCTTCCTGGGAGGTTTAAACAATATGATTTCTATCTATTTTCTAGAAATTACCCGTAGAAACATTACCTTGAGGCTTAGACTAAACCGGTCTGCCCTGGGGCTCAGTAAAACAGCAATTGCCAGTGTGGTTTTGCTGGTACCCCGAGTAAGACCATGCTGACAGACTGTTAGCCTGCTTACATTGAAGCAGGGCTATGCTCTTGAGTCTTTGTGACTGTTCTCACAGTAGGACAGCAGATTCCATGAGCTACAGTAGAGACCTTATTTACCATTTGGGCCATTGCAAACAAAACCCCTGAAGAATCCTCCTTTCGTCTGCTGAGCTGAAAACATCTCCTACAAAACACAAAAGCATGATGTTGGTGGTCTCTATGCACTGTATGTACAGTGGGGCGTAGTATACCAGACCAATGGCGTTTTACCCCTCCGCTTGCCTGGAGTTAGCCACTGAAATGTGAAGATAACTGAATTACTATTGATAGCAGCTTTCCTCTCTGCATTCCAGAAATACAACAATGATTGGTGGATAGGGAGGCTGGTCAAAGAGGGCTGTGAGATTGGCTTCATCCCAAGCCCGCTGCGGCTGGAGAACATACGGATTCAACAGGAGCAGAAGAGAGGCCGTTTTCATGGCGGGTAACGCCCCATCTTCTCCAGGAGCTAGCCTTTTCTTTCTCCCTCCCTTCCTCCCTCCTTCCCCCTTCCCTCCCTCCCTCCTTTCTTCCTCCTTCCTCCCTTACCTCCCTTCCTCCTTCTTTCCCTCCTTCCCTCCCTCCTCCGTTCCCTCCCTCCCTCCTTCCCTCCATTCTCGCTTCTTTTTGTGGGAAAATTGGGTAATATTTTCAAGTTTCTTATTTAAAACTGGCTGAAGCCATTCATTCTTTTAACTCAATCTCTGCATTCAGTTGGATTCTCTTGTATCTCACAAACATGTTCTTTAAGACTCTCTTTGCCAGCAACCTGCTTTAAAGCAGGTTTCCATTAGGGACACTTCACTGCACATAGGCTCTTCTTGAGGAGGACACAGAGGTTTGGGGTTTAACTATTTCCACTGTGTTCTGAACCCCAGCAACTCAAAAATCCACACGAATTCCACAGTGGACTCTGCTTCCCGTGGGTACAGTAAACCCATCATACCCTCTGTGAGGGTTCCAGGGGGCCTTATTTCTCAGGATAGCTCAGGTAGCAACTGCCGTGACCAAGAGCCATAGTTCTGCTCTGTTCCCTGTCAACAACTCCCTGCGCTGGGCACAGAGTGTGGTGGTGTGGACAGTCCTAGGGGTACTTTTCTCTACTTGGCCTCTTGTGCCATCCCCTTCTGCTGACACTGTGCTGAAGACTCCGGGGAGTGTTCCAACAGCACACAGACTTCAGAGGGCTAGTGGCAGGGCTATTCCCCGGAGGGTGGGCGCAGCCTGACAGAAGCCCTGGCTGAACTGGGTCTCGGAGGTGCTGTCCCTGCTCTCCCTGAAGCCCTGGTTTCGTGTGCATTAGAATTGTTCAAAAGCGTTCAAATCAAGCAAGTTCTGCTACTGTTATCATTGCTTTGAGACAATCTTGCTGTGTGCTTGAGGCTTGTCCTCGGTGAGGCAATTCTTCTGCACCAGCCCCATGCCCTAGCGCTGGATCACAGCTGTGCATCACCATGTCTGGCTGAAGCAGTTCTTTCCTTTGATTTAATCTTTCTTTTCAGTTATTTTTTTTTTAATTAAAAAAAAACCTGCTGTGTTATTTAAGTCTCCCTTTGCTTTATCCTAATGAAAACCTTTCCAGTAGTGATGGAATAGAGGTACAGTTAACCACCTGGCTGTTTCCAGTGTGGCTTTGAACTCACAGAGATCCAGAGGATCTCTGCCTCTGGAATGCTAGGATTAAAGGCGTGTATGCCACCATTTCTGGCCTCTGTGTCTATCTAGAGATGGTTCTGTCCTCTGACCCCAGATAAGTTTATTAGGGTGAACAATATTTTGGGGAACACAATGTCACCACACTGTATGATTAATTTTCTGTTAAGATGCTTTATTATTAATCCTCTGGTCCCCTTTGCTCTAGAAATTTCATTTTCCATGCCTCTTAACACACCGGGAACACTTGGCCCTTCCCTGGGCCTTTACATTTGCTTCCTCTCCTGGGACTCCTCTTCCTCCTTTGCTGTTAGTAGATCCTTCCATCTCTTTCGGGCTCTTGTTGCAGAGTTCCAGTGGCCCCCTCCTTCCCTGCTGTATTTTAAGTTGTACCCATTCCAGACTCACCCCTCCCTGCATTTTCCATCTCTTTCCAACTTGTTTCTATTACACTTGCTACTTTCAGCAATATTGGGTATTTACCTATTTCTCTTGTTTAGCCTTGATGATCTCCTACTAGAATGTGGCTCACTAACAATCTCCCACCATTTTTGCTGTTATTAATACATGCATATATATATAATATATGTATGTATATGTGTGTAATACATACACACATCCCTCTCTCTCTCTCTCTCTCTCTCTCTCTCTATATATATATATATATATATATATATATATAAAGTTTACTTCAAGGCAAGAGAAACAATAAAACCAAGGCCTCATTCACAGAGGCTCACGTGTCATGCTTCTCTCTGTAATGTATAAATAACTCCTGTGTCCATAGATGGGGAAAACAAACACTCAAAGATGTATCGCAGTGTGTTCCACAGCAGTGACAGAGCTGTTCACTGCTGGGCTATGAACATACATGAATTACTGATGGCAGCCCTTACTGTCGACAGCAGGAATGGTTCATAGAACACCCCCAACCCCCATGTGCTTTGAAGAAGCAGTTCTCCGGGTCCTCTCGCTTGTTCTGAGCTTTCTGGCCTCTGGTACTTTAATCCTTGGTCTCAAGTAAACATATGGCTCCAAAGAGCATCCTTGCCAGGGGTCCTTCTGCTCAATTTTTGTATGAATAACAGGGAAAGAGAATTTGCAAAGAATTTCCAGTGTCAATTAGATCTGCACTCACTCTGAGAAATGAGGTCAGAGAAAGCATTTGAGGACATTCCTGATGCTCTTCTAACAGGCTTTGGTATGTTTTGAATTATTTAGCAGAAGGCCAAAGAACACCTTGGATTCTCAGTTTCTGTTTTCAGAGGATCTGGGGCGAGAGTCTTAAGTTCGTTTCCATGTTCTAGGAAATCGAGTGGGAACTCTTCCTCCAGTCTGGGAGAAATGGTGTCAGGAACATTTCGAGCGACTCCCACCACAACAGGTGAGCAGTTCCACTACTAAACATCAGAGCACATAAGCAGACGATTTTACTGGTTTGGAAATAAAGACTTGATTTAAGATTTAAAGCTTCTTTTATTTAAGGTTTCCTTGCTCATTTGAATCCCATTTGACTTGAAAGGTACTAACGATACAAAAATTTAGCTCATTAGTATAATTTTGAAAAATTTCATTCACCCCCTATAGCCAGTAACTCTCCATGTATAAACCAACCCCAAGTTCATTATGCTACTCCCCCAACTCAAGATACTTCAATATTGTGAGACCAATAGAGATAAAAGCTCATGGACTCTCACATGTTCAGTATGTACATAAAACTTTATCACATGTTGTACATATAGGGGGTTATAGCACCCCTGCAGCAAGATTACTGTGTCTTTATATTTGACATTAGATAGTTCCAGCTGAGCCCTAGAATTAACTCAGTGAAGAAACAGGGTATCTCAATAAAGACTCTGTGTGTCTTTGGATATAGTAAAGATATTCACCTAGAAAGTTCTCTTCCATCACATTCTCTAACTCTAATTCCATTCTGGCCAGGAACTGAGGCTGTACCAGAGCATCCAATGTCACCAGTTCAGATGGTAGGCCAAGGCTCTGCAACTCATGTCAATGCTAGGTCGATTCTGGGACAGTTTTGAGGGCTGGGTCCTTGTTTGTGAGGATTCATTCTGACCTCCAGGACTGGGAATCAACCTGTTCCTCTAGGTGACCCTATTTAAACAGGACCTGTTCTTGGATGGCGGCAAAGCCATCTTCATTGGTTATGGAGTAGGTTCTGCCTTCTGTGTGTTTGCTGGACACTGGGGAACTGCCAAGCTTATCACTCTTACCAGCTGGAGGGGACATGGGAAACTTGCTGTCCGAGTGTTAAGAGGAGCATAGTGGAAACAGAGGTATCAGCATTCAGAAGAAATACCCGAAGATCTGCAATATTACCTCATGGTTCACCAAACTCACAAAGACGAAACAGTAGCGACAACAACAGTAATAGTAATGTCTGAGGTGAAGTAATTTTGCTCACACTGTATTGTTCCTTTTTATTACATTTCCTTTAGCCAGCTTGCCCTCAGCTTTGTATGTACCACATCCAGTGTGGGCACACCCATGGTTAATGGTTAGCTAACAACCTCCAGTGTTGTTTGAGTGCCTGTCCCAGCCTCTCCCAGGAAATCATGATGTAAAGTCATTGGTGCAGAGAGGAAATTGTCGGTATTTCATGTCGTCACGGTAGCACGTCCAGAGTGAAGTGGCGGGGCAGTGATCTGCTGAGTGGGGGCCAGGCAAGCGCGGAGGACAGTGGTAGAGTCCCTCCTCCCATCTTTTAAACTCGTGTGCTATCATTTGCAGAGATTACATATTTTGATGTGACTCTCATTGTTGTCTTTTAGCAAAACAGAAGCAGAAAGTGGTAAGTTGTGTTTCCTTTTTAAACTCCTGCTAAGGTTTCCATCCGTACATGCCTGCGATGCTCCATTTCCGTGACCCACATACCTAAAAAGAGAGGGATGGGCCTCCTCGGTCGGGACCCTTAGTCGTCTCTTACTGTGCAGCCTGAGAACTCTGGCTGTTGTGGCTGTCAAGGAGCTGGGCCCAGTCTCACCTTCTCACTCGTCTTGACTCATCTCTTTCAGACGGAGCACATTCCTCCTTACGATGTTGTACCATCAATGCGTCCTGTGGTATTAGTGGGACCATCACTGAAAGGTTATGAGGTACAAATGTCATCCGTTACTCTCCTTTTCTTGACCAAGAACGCTGGGGACCAGCCTTTGGAATCTGGCCCCTCCAGGGTCTATTCACAGATAGGAAGTGGCGGAAGGCAGCTCATAGTATGTGAAGGCAGGTGATGGAAAACAGTAAAAACTAGATTAAACTTCGGAGATCAAGTAGACCTTGCCATGTAATAAAGAGGAGTCAAGACTAGAGTGCATGGTATTTCAGATTTTGCCATTCTGGCTTTGTGCTTGAATGGACAAAAGGCATGGGGTGTGATAATCTAAATCTGAAGCTGGCCAACCTTCAGGCCAACCATCCTTCCCCATAGGATGATGTCTGGTAAAGGAGGTATACTTAGCATGCATTTGTTGAATGAGCTAGCAACTGTCCTGAGGCAGATCTAAGATGCTCATCTCTCTCTCTGAGTTGGAAATGTCAGGTGATGAGCAAGAAAATTATGTACAAAAAAATTAAGTCCCAGATAGGGAGAATTCCCAACATGCTCAGGCTGGCAGGGCAGCTGAGCCCAGAGCTGATGTTGGGACTACCCACTGCTCCTCAGTAGAGGCAAGCATAACTCTGCCATGTGAAGATGATGATCTCATTGAGGCAAATCTGTATCCTAAGGGAAATAGGAGGAGGGTTTGCCTGGGATCCTGTGAAAACTATGGGTTCATTCCTCTCTGGAGAAGAGCCAAGGGAGACATTAGCAACTGTTGGATTAACATGAAACCTGCCCTCTGAGATGCCTGGTGTGATGGGGGGTCTCTCCTCAGTCACTGTGCCCTTCCCCCTCTCTCACCGTTGATCTCTCTCTCTCTCTCTCTCTCTCTCTCTCTCTCTCTCTCTCTCTCTCTCTCTCTCCCTCCCTCCCTCTCTCTCCCCGTGTTTGCCTCACTCTCTTTTTCTCACCTCTGCAAAGGTAACAGACATGATGCAGAAAGCCCTCTTTGATTTCCTGAAGCACAGGTTTGATGGGAGGTGAGATATCTAGATGCTTTTGTATTTTGATTTTCCTTTAACTGAACAAGTGTGATAAATTGATTTGTGGGTCTGTTTCCAATGATTACAGAAGTCCAGTGATTAAATTGAACTCAGTGTTCCAGGAAAGTGTTCACTAAAACAGCTATGAAAATATGAAGTATTGCATGAGGCCCCCAAGGACAAAACAAAAAGGAAATTAATCCATTTGTTGGATGTAATGTGTACTTGTCTTTATTTTCTCACTTACAAGCGAGTTCATACCGAACTGGTTTTCATGAAGAAATTAGTTTAAATGTATATTTCTGATAAATACAATGGCTCACTGGTCATGCTGGGTAGTGTCTGGGAATTGTGCATGTGTGTACATGCATGTATCCATGTATGTGTGATTTGAAGGTATAAATATAAAGTGCTTTGCAAGAATGAAATGCTAGAAACAATCTCCAATAAATAACCAAATTTCCTTAAAAGAGGAATACAACTATCTCTTTGTGTAGCCTTCCTGGGTGACTATTGAAGGGAACTGTACTTATTTGGATGTATTGTTAGAAGTAACCTTGTTATTTTTATGGGAATGTTTTACACGTGTCCCCCCTATAAGCCATCATCATATGACCTCAAATAAATTCATGCTTCAGTTTCATGGAAACAGTCTAGAGCTCTTAGGTTTTCCAGAGAAGTGGTACAACTCTATATTGACTCAAAAATGAGAACATGATTGTTCACAAGTGGAATGTGTTCCACATAGAAACAACCACCCAGAAAAACCTGAAGATTTATCAGAAGCAAATTTATATAGCACACGTTGGGAAACCTGGGCAATGCATCTGGGTTTTCACTTTAAACTGAATAATTCATTTAAAAATTATTTTTAAATACTTTAAAATGGATCTTTAGAGTTCAATTAATTTTAAGAAAAGACAAAGATAGTCATGTTTTAAGCACAAATTGTGTGTATACAAAACCTAAGTATAATATATATACATGTATGTATTTATATATATAATTTCATAGGAATATTTTTATATATTTATAATTTGTTAAAAGGAAAGCTTTCTGTGTAGTCATGTGAAAATAACCATTGGTTTCTAACACCAGATACAGTGAAAAGAAGCGGAGGGGCTGGAGGGATAGTGCAGTGGGTAAGAGTGCTTGCTGTACATACAAACGTGAGTCCCTAAGTTCAAATCCCCAGCACTCACATAAAACACAGCATTGCCTCTTGTGTGTCTGTAACCTCAGTGCTGTGTAGATGGAGCTGAGGGCATCACTAGGCTTGTTGACTCCGGGTTTATGAAAGACACTGTCTCAAATAAATAAGATGGTGAGTGATAAGAGTAGGATTCCCAACGTCTTCCAGCATGGACACCTGCATCGCACACACACACATACACAGACACAGACACACACAGACACAGACACACACACACACACACACACACACACACACACACACACGCGCGCGCACGCGCGCGCAGCTGAGATTTTACTTACCGTAACTGAGAATGTTATTCAAGAAATGGGAATGCTTGTCTGCCATCAGGTGAATTTCTAAGTACATGACTGAATGTAAAACCAGGTCACCTTAGTAATAGACCCCTAGATGCACAGTGATTTGAACACGCTGGAAGCTTAATTTCACTACTAAGTGGTCAGAGACAGGGATTCCTGTTGGGAAAGAAAAGGTAAGTGGTGAGGGGAATCTCAAGAAGAGTGTTTGCTTCATCTGCCGTTTGGGGCCCATGGCCTTTAACTGAGCTCTCCAGTCAGCCAACAGGGAAAGGGCCTCTGGGGCCTGGAAATAGTGCACATAAGGGCTCATTTCATTGGCTAGAATTTGGTTATGTGGCCATTCTTAGTTGCAAAGGAGTCTGGGAAGTACAATTCAGCTATATACCTCGGATGAAGAGAAAATGGAGTTGCCTCCCCCATAGTTATCTGTAATCTAGTGGGCACAAAGGGTTGGTAAGAAAGACATGGTTGTTCTCCCTCCCTCTCCCTCTCTCCCACCCCTCTCTTTCTCAAGACAGGTCCAGATGGTCCTGGCTACTAGGAAATTCATGTCCTAAAAATACATTACAAAGAAACGGCTGAAGCCGGACTCTAACTTAACAGTAACGGTCTAGGTCCTGTCGTGTGGTGTTCTGGCCCATAACTCTGACCCACAAGTGCCTCTGTGGATGGAAAACAGCTAACCTGAGTGACCCAGTGTGCTAGAATATTAGTTAAAGATACGTTAACATTTGTTTATGCTGTGGAACATTTGTTTAATGATGCAACGATGTGTTGCATTCTTTTATGTTCTATTTGTTTAACTCTGTGAAGCTGTGTTCCTTTGCTTGTCTAAAACACTTGATTGGTCTAATAAAGAGCTGAAAGGCCAATAGGTAGGCAGGAGAAAGGGTAGGTGGGGTGGGCTGGCAGGCAGAATAAATAGGAGAAATATCAGAGGAGAAGATCAAGGGATGAAAGAAAGAAGGAGAAGGACACCAGGAATCAGCCACCCAGCTACACAGCTAGCCACAGAGTAAGAAGTAAAGAAAAGTATACAGAAATAGAAGAAGATAAAAACCCAGAGGCATAAGGTAGACAGAATGATTTAAGTTAAGGAAAGCTGGCTAGAAATAAGCCAAGCTAAGGCTGGGCATTCAGAAGAAAGAATAAGCCCCTGTGTGTTTATTTGGGAGCTGGGTGGCGGGCCCCCAAAGAGCCAAAGAGTATCAAGTAAAGAATAACCAAAACAAACAAACAAACAAACAAACAAACAAACATCCAGCTCTGCTGTTCTTGGTTGCCTTTACACAGTTCCTCCAGCTGTGTGTGGACTCGCTGGTTTTAACCTGGGTACCTTCACTGAAGGCTGTCCTGAGCGGTGCCCCCTCCTCTAATTCCATCACAGCTTTTTGATCTGAACAAATCCCCCATCCCACAACTCAGCCTCCACCTGTGCTAGGTTGTTTTGTTTGTAGATAACATTCCTAAGAACAATGTTTTTAAAGGTTGAAAGGCATTGAGGAGAATGAAGAAACTACTTCAGGTCTGGCACAGGGAAAGCTGAATGGCTGAAAGACTAGCTTCAGGAGTGTGGTCTGATGCAGTCTTTAACCACGAGGCCATGGAAGAGGATGCTCATTTAGTCACAGCCCGGAGTCGTCTCAAGTCAAGCAGAATTGCTACTTCAGTCACTGTAGCTACCCTACTGATGCTTCTTTCAAATTGAAGAGAGAATTAAAATTTCAATGACAAGTTTTCACGGGGTCTGATGATGGCAGAGAGTCTGGGGGAGGGGGTCCGGTAGCAGCCAGAGTGACAGCCAGGGACAGAGGCAGGCCTGGAGAAGTCTGATGTATAGACGTTCTGGAGAGAAATAGATCGTAAAGACGGAAGGGAGAGCATGTACTTGCTTTCAGATGCTGAGAGGGCTCTGCCACAGAAAGAGCCAGGGAGCCCACTGGTGAGGGACTGTGGACAGTTGGGTAAAGAAGGAAGTTGGCCAGGAGCTTCTCACAGATGCTAGCACGTCTTCTGTGGGGGGAATGTTGTGTTTTGAGCTGTGACAATCTGCTGTGTTGTGTTTTTACCAATTAATAAAAGGGGGGAAAACAGCACACAGTCTCTGGTTGAAGTCAGCCAAGAGAGCAGTCGCACCGAAGACTGACTCCAGGAAGCGGCAGGAACAGCAGCGTCTAACGGAGACCTGCCCAGTGTTTCTTTGACGGTGACTGCAGTAGGGTAGACACCATAGACATCAGGAGAATGGCCCAGGCTTTTCAGGAAGAGGAAATAAGAAATCCATGGGTTAAGAGGCTTTTTAATTCAATACTGCTTTTCAGTTCCCAATTCAAAATTAATTCAGTGGAGTAGATGAAACCCATCTGTTTGACTGTAGCAGAAGCAAAAGCTTGGATAATTTTCCTTTTGACTCCTTAGAAATATGAGTCACTTTAGACCTATTTCTTACTCAGTTTGTTTGAGTCTAACTGTAGCACTTGTAAGAAAAATGGGGGAAAAAAGCAATACTAAGTAGCTCCTGAAGTCCTATTGTATATGTCAGTGTCCTTATGCAAGATTGATTCTTGTCAGTGGATTATGGACCCCGTGAGCCAGACAATCTGCTCCAGTGGCACTCAGCCTGCAGGGGACACAGTGGGAACAGAGTGTCTCTATTTCAGACCACAAACACCACCGGGGAGTCATCTTTTCCGAGGAGGTTTGAGTAGCTGGTCGGTCCACCACTGTCAGGCTGAAGGACTACATCACCAGCTGCAGTCTGCCGACGTACACCACATGTCTCAAGTCCCCCAGACGTTGTCATGTAGGCTTTTCATTTCTGTAGTTTATTTTTATTAGCATATATTCCCTGTTCACAGCACTGGGTTTTCATAAAGACAGCCTTTTCTGACTACTGGGTAGCTCTGCAGCATCATGTTGTATCCTAAAATCATAAATGAACACTGCGGAGCCGACAGGGATAAGGTCCTAAAATAAAGGGGACTATAGGACATGTGTTCTAAAATGAACAAGCAAAACAAAACAAACTCAAAATTGTCAAATGGGAAAGAACTTGAAAGAGACGAGTTTAAGCACACCACTTAGGGAGGAGCTAAAACTTGGTACTGAATTTATTGATGAAAGGAAACATCAATTGATGATATCACAAAGCAGCCCCTCCATGTGAGTATGAAAACTCTTTGCCATTGCAGTTCACAAATGGAAAAGGAAACTTCTGTCTTACAACCCATCTGTCCTTCCTCTCAGGCCCTACCATGATTCTCTCTTCTAGTGCTGGTCTCAAACGCTGGAGATAATGGAAGATTTTTTTTTTTTTTTGCGCCAACTTGAATGCTTAAATTAATAGATTTTGATTACATCATGTCTCACTGCCTTCCCCAAAGTTTTCTGTATATATAAGTCTCACCAGCTCTGGGAGAGGAGAGTCCATGGTGGTGGACTGCTAACTTCTGAAGATAAGATGTGAGGAGACTGTTCCTCTGGAGTCTTTGGATCTCCAACAAATGCTTTCCTTGTATATATTTACACACACACACACACACACACACATACATGCGCCTATATGTATGTGTATGTATATGTATATGTATGTGTATGTATATGTATATGTATGGTGAGATATATATATATATATATATATATATATATATATATATATATATCACCAGGGCCAAGGCTACATTTATCTATCTATTTTTCTATCTATCATCTATCTATCTATCTATCTATCTATCTATCTATCTATCTATCTATAGCCAGAGTCTCATTATGTAGTCTTGAATAGTCTGGAACTTGCTATGTAGACCAGGCTACTGTCAAACTCCCAGACAACCACCTGCCTCTGTCTCCCAAGTGTTGGGATTAAAGGTATGTGCCACCACATGCATCCCTCTGAGGCAGCTTGTAGAAGGCAGGGTTTATCTGGGGCTCACAGCTCAAGAGGGATCTGTGTTCGATCCAGTCATGGAAAGACACAGGCAGTGCAGTAGGCAGGCATGGTGACTGAGCTGGAAGCCCAGAGCTCAGGGCTCACACCTTGAACCATAAGCAGGAAACAGAGAGAGTGAACTGGGAATGGCATGTGGCCTTTGAGACCTCAGAGTTGGCCTCCAATGATGTACTTCCTCCAGGAAGGCTACACCTCCTAAGCCTCCCCAAGCAGTGACACCAACTAGGGACCAGTTATTGAAATGTCTGAGAATATGGGGGACATCTCAAACCAGCACAAATGCTAAGAACACTCATTTAAAAAGTCAGTTTTATGTATTGCCTTCTTTGCCCATAGCAATAATCCTCTGAGATACTAATGACAAGTCTATCACCATTTTATGGATTAGGAGATGGAGGCTCGAAATGCTATCACTTTGTCCTTGAGCATGAAAATCAAAAGAAAGATAGAAGGGACCCTGGAGTCTTCCTGTGTCTTCCTCTCTGCTCATCCTGCTTTGGAACACTTTGCCTATAAGCACTAGGAATTTAAAAATATGTATTATGCTGAACTGGGCTTCTTACTAATTAGTCAGAATGGAAAAGGATCTTCCAGCTGTTACATTAGCAACATGGGAATACTAATTAGCTTTGAATGGATGTGTCACAACTGAAAGAAGTGTCTTCCCATAGAAAATCTGCAGAAGGGCAGATGAAGTAGTTCTGCAGATAGAGGCATCTGCCACCAAGCCCGGTGTCCTGAGTTCTAGCCCTGGGCCTCACATGACGAGTGGAGAGAACAGATTCCTAACAGCTGTCCTCTGACCTCCTCTAGCACACTATGACCTGTGTGTGTCTACTGCTCCCTCCCATATAAATAAAAATGTAAAAAAAAAGTAAGTTAAGAAAATCCCCAGGAAACTACTAATGCCATCAGCTAAGCTGAATCCTGAGGTAGAAACATGCAGGAGTTAGAGTGCAGACTTGAGGATTTAGGGAATGGTTTTTGCTGGGTTTCAGGGATGTGACCCCCTGTCTTCAGGGGAACCAAACTCCCGCTGGCCTCTAACTACTGAGGCCACCCCAGTGAGGTTGCCGATGGAACACTCTGAGGAAGGTATAGAGATGCCTGGGAGTGCCGGAGGCCCATGTGGATAAGTCAAGCAGGAGAAGAGGAAATGTACCATTAGTGTAAAAACATAATAAATTAGGAAACAGTCACTCGGCTGAGGGAAGTTTTGTTTCAAAAGAAAGAAATGGAGGTCTGGTATTGGTTTTGGTAACAGTAAGCCTTTCAGCAGAAGAAGGCCTTCTACATCATACTGTCAGACTTCTAGAGCTGAGTAGGCCTCTTCTTGGACTCTACTCCATGCGTGTATACTTTGCTAACAGACGGCATATATTATCAATGGAGTATTTTTTTATTAGAAAATAAAATGAGAAAAAGAGCATTTTGTCACCGACAGTGTTTTCTCTGTTTTTAAAGTTCAAAGCAGCCTTTTCTGTATATGTTAAATATCAGTTCTATTTGAATGGCTTTGTAAAGTGGTTTTATAACCCGGGGAAAATGTAAGAATATACATTTGTTGATGATTTCACCAAAAGTTAAGAACCAAGAGTTACTATTTGGTGTATGAAGAACTAGGAAATTTTGGCATGGCAGAAATCATTTTCCTGGAAAGTGGAATCCTGTCCTTAAGTCAGCCCACTTGTCTGTAGCCATATACTTGGGTTATTCTAAGATATGACAGTATGTTTCTATCCAGATGCTCCATTCCTTAACAAACAAGAAACCCAAATTAAACAGGAGACCCCATTCTGTGAGGCAAGAGTGCTGCCCCAAAGACATTGCCTCTCAGAACTGCATGAGGAGGACATGGTAGTCAACACGGGTTGCTGCAAGCTTGAGGCCAGCCTGGGCTACAGAATGAGACTGTCGACTGGAGAGAGAGAGAGAGAGAGAGAGAGAGAGAGAGAGAGAGAGAGAGAGAGAGAGAG